GGTCTATATTAACCACACTGGCAAAACAAGATGGCTGACACATTGACAGGTAAAACGCACTGAGTAGTGCTCTCGACTGCACCAGAAAATCGATTGGCGCCCGCGAAAATTCAAAAGTACAAAAATGAAGTATATTACCAAGTAACCCAGTGAGAACTGCTTGCCCATCATTTTAGTTGAAAATACAAGAAGTTTTATTACAAGCAAGCATTGCAAGCCCGCTAGGTTAATTTCTGCTGCTTGCTTGGAATAAAATTTCTTGTATTTTATATCAAAATGATAGGCAAGCAATTCTGTTAAAAGCACTGGCACTGAACATTTCACTTCATACAGTCTATTTTGCAACTTTTTTTAAAATGATGTCAATCCCGAAAGTTTCAGGATTAGGAAAACTTAATCCTGAAAATTTTTGGACTGAAAAGTGGTCGGGATCCCGATTTTCGAGATCCCGGGATCAAATCCTCTAGTTAGGGCCCATCTCAAGTCACTGGCAGCAAGCAACATTCTATGATAAGGGGATGGAAAAGTTCGTCCACAGATACGACAAATTCCTCAATCTTCACTGTGATTATGTTGAAAAGTAACCATGTTTGTACCTAACTTTTGGTAATAAATTCATTTTGTTATTTATACTTGTCTTTTTTTTTTATGGACCATCGGGGCTTGAAAAAAAACCATACTACGTATTATAAAGTGCTTTGGACAGAACTGCCTAAATTTTGTGTATCTTGGTTTTCCTTCATTTCATAATAGTGTTAATGCCTCAAAATGATTGGGAGAGACAAATCTCCAAAACAATAACTGAAAATACAGATCTCTTCACTTTCATTACCAGAAATACAAAACTCATTTTATCAGTTAAATTTATCTTTTAAATTTTATTTAGTTCGACAATACAGTGACTATCGGGTGCCAATGGAAACCTGCCACACCCTGATGCAGTTGTCGGTGTATCCAGCAAACAGCGTCTGTCCATCGGCTGACCAAGCCATGGAAATGCACTGGGGAGGCTGTGCCTTTGCACTGGTGCTGATCACTTCAGGGCGCAATTCATCTACCATGTTCTTACCTTCCAGATCCTGTATTATAAAAAAATTTTATAAATTATGTAACATTGTGAACATAATTTCTTCTTCTAATTTTTCCTTACTAATCATTTTAATGCCAAATTTTTCATTATGACATGCTTTTAGATACATGCATCAAAATCTTACTAGAAAATAAGCAGAAATTTAGTATATATTAAAAAAAATTGCATTCTTTCATTCTAAAACTATCCACTACATTATGTATGTTGTTGCTAATTTTTTAAAAGCGAGAAACTTATATTTGGAATTATATTTTTTACTAAAATGTAATTCCCCCACACAGCCATACTCATAAATCAATAAACAGGAGTTCATGCATGCATTGCATTAATTTGTCAATATGTAAAAACTCAACATTACAAATTAATGAAATTATTTGTGTTATGCCCTCATAATTGCAGGATCTTTTCATCAAATATCAAACTGTTTTTGTTATAATCATAGGGCATTCCATGCAATAAAATCTACACAGAATTAACAATGAATCAGACTTACCCAGATCTTGATGCTCGGTCCGGTGGCCACACACAACCAGTAACGATTTGGACTGAAGCAGAGAGCATTGATGATGTCTGTGTGATCCAGAGTGTAAAGATGTTTTCCTTCATTCAAATCCCACAACATGGCTTTACAATCCTATTATTAAAAATTATTTTTTAAGAGAAATGCAATTCAACGTTGATGCAAATTTGTATGATCAATTTCAACTGGATTAGTACAGAACAGCCCTACTCAACTAATTTGTATTGAGGTCTGAACATGAAACTGGCAGGCATATTGTACTGCCAGTCCAGATCATGTACTCCAAACTATTAAACTAATTCTTTTTTCTCTACACATATTTATGAATAAAAATATTCTGTATAATTAATGAGAAAAATTGCATTTCCTTTTCCTAATTATTGCTATAAAATTGGGCATGGATGTCATAATTTTGATGCCTGTTCCAAATGACATTGGATTAGGCAATGGCCTGTACTTGCTTTTGAAACAATTTATGCAAAAGAAGGCTTTCCAATCCAAGAGACTGTTTGGAAACTTGCAATTGGCTGTTGATCTGGAAAAAACCTGCAGTCCAGATTCACATCTTGATCTGCAGTTGAGTAAGGCTTTGTATAGAATAACCAAATCACTAAGAAATTTCAACTCCATCTTTAAAATATATTTAATAAATTATGCAGAAAAAATAATTTTACCTTTCCACCAGAAGCACACAATGATCCATCAGGAGATACTGTCACGGTATTTAAATATCCTGTGTGGCCAACATGATTTGTCTTCAATTTGCAATTAGTTAAGTTCCAAACCTGAAAAAAAAAAAGTTTTTAAGGGCAAAACTTTAATTTTGTTCATTTAAATATGTCAGAAGTAACTGAGCATATTTAAACATGAACAAAATTCAGAAATAACTGCATTAACAACAGTTATATAATTCAGAACACTTGTTAGAAATGAAACTTTGAGCCTATCTAATTTGAAGCTTTTGAAAGAACTAAGTAATAAATGGAAGTTTTGCATTAGTGTTTTTTGAATGAAACTATTTTAGGACATATTTTTCATAATCAAGAAAAAGTTCTTAGAACTATTATTATATATCTATTTTTGGTAAGAATTATCAATATCAAAAACTAACTTTTCTCATAGATAAACATCAATAAGCAAAATGATAACTGGCAGGCATATCGTCAATAATTTTTAATATTACCTTAACATACTTGTCCCATCCACAAGATACAATAATTGGATTGCTATTATTGGGAGAGAATCGTACACAGGACACCCAATCTTCGTGGCCATCTTCCTACCAAGACAAACAAATACATAATTATATTATAAAGCAAGCTATGGTGAAAAAATTACTCTCATTAAATAAAAGAAATAAAGGATTTAGTTTGATTTGTAATGCAAGATAATTTTAATTGATTATTCCAGCAGCAAAAAAAATCACAAGAATAAATTTCAATTTAACATTAACTTGATGATGACTAAATAATGACTATTTCTAATTTACTCTAAAACTTTTATACATTTTTTCCAAATTGACAAATAAAGATAATTTATGGTAGTTATACAAAATTATCATACATGATTAACTTGAATAAATACAAATATATAAACACAAGGGTTGGTTCTGATTTTATTCATAAATAAAACCAGACTAACCTATTCCATGTTGAAATTTTTATTTGCTGCCTGTGACGCCATGTTGAATTTTCGTCGGTGTTAAACATAATCGTGTTTACTGTATTGTAAAAAATTATTTTTTTATGTTGCACAAATAAAATACATATATNGTAACATCGCGCCCCAGAGAAGGCAACGGGAAACCACTCTGGGTAGTAACTTTCCCTAGTATACACCTTGGCGGATTACAAACCTACGCCAGGTGTCGCCGACGTCAGGAATCTGATATGGCACCAAGAAGAAGAAGAAGTCTAGAGACAAGTGTGGCATTTAGTCTCTCAACTATCCAGTTGTGCTGAGGTCACTCAGTACTTGTTAGATGTTTGATTCCATTCCTTTCTAAATATCTTCTGAAGTAAATGAAGGTGATCTATCTGTTAGTAGATGTTTTGGACTGCCTGTTTGTAATATTTTTCCTAGACAATCTATGTAGGCTTTTATAGAAGTAGGTTTGGATGGGAAATACCAAGCAAACCTAGAAAAGTGATTGATGGTAACATGAAGGTAGCCTTTAGTAGATCTTTGCATTCCAGTGATAGTGTCCATAGATAACGTCAAATGGAGCTTTTGATGAAGGTAAGTCATCTAACAAGCCAAACTTTTTATGACTGTATGTCATTGCTTTTTAACAAACTCTACTATTGGCTGAATATCATCAAGAATGTTGTAATGTCAACTGATTAATTTCAGCCTCTGTGTTATACCTGGGTGACCATAGTATGCATGTGCCCTGGATAGCACCTTGTACTGAAGGGAAGGAGGTATGACTTTCTTTGTAAATCCCTTCTTTCTGATACAGATTACATCTTCATGATCTTCGGTGAGGTGAGTAAGAGGTATCCTGGTTGGAAAGCACTTCCTCGGTGGTAACAAAATGGCTCACGGGGGCGCTGGATAAATAATCAGCTTCTATATTCTGGCTTCCCTTCTGATGTTTAATGTCATACTATTACAGCTCAGTTTCAAAGACCATCTAAATAACCTTCCAGATAGTTGTTTTTTATACTTTTCAGCCACTGTAAAGCTTGATGATCAGTGTGTACGGTGAAATAGATACTATGAAGATAAAAGTGAAACTTTTCAATAGATGCTACAATTGCAAAGCATTCTTTATCATATTCAAGTAAGGACCTGGAGAAATATGCAATAGGAAATAGTCCTTAATAGGATGTTCCTGTTTTAAGATACACGCTATACCATCTCTGCTAGCATCTGTATAGAAAGCAAAGGGTGTGTTATATGTGTTTAAGATGGGTCTGGTGATAAGTGCTCATTTTAATTTCTCAAAAGTTTCTTGACATTTAGTCATCCAAGCACAATTTTGATTTTTCTTTAGAAGTATATTTAGAGCTCTTAAATTTGCATAATTTGGAATAACTCGATGGTAATGGTTTATGGACCCTAAAAACCCTGTAACTATTTGATATTAGTTGGACATTTTAACTTTTGTATCACCCCTGTAACTATTTGATATTAGTTGGACATTTTAACTTTTGTATCACCCCTGTAACTATTTGATATTAGTTGGACATTTTAACTTTTGTATCGTTTCTATATTTGATAATGAGGAGGAGTAACTTTCTGGTTTGATGTTGAACCCAAGATAATTAATCTCAAATCTTAAAAAATGTCAGTTTGTTAGATCTAAGTAGAGAGCTTCCCTTGAATATAATTCAAATACTTGTGTTAAGTGTTTTAGGTGTTCATCCACGTTCTGACTAAAAATTAACAAGTCATCAAAAGTAATTGATGAGAAAAGGACATCTATATTTATTTAGGATATTTTTGAGAACTAGCTGAAAAATCTGAGGTGAAGTCTTTAGGCCAAATGGCAAACGATTCCACTGGAAGTGACCAGAATTCGTTACAAAGGGCAGTTCTTTGTCTTCAGAATGAAGAGGAACCTGCCATTAGGCTAACAGAACGTATACAGTAGAAAATATTTTTGTACCTATTCTATTCTATTCTATTCTATTCTAATAAAAGACAAGAGGGGCTATCTGCAATTTAGTGCAAACTTTACCCCTGTATGAATAGGAAGGAAGAGTAAAAGAAAGTAAGAGTTAGAGAGCAGAGGAAATAAAGGAAGATAGGAAAGTGTGAAATAAGCAACCATAAGGCCCCCACAGGACCCCATGGGCGCCCGCATCGCCTTTATTAAAACAATATTTACAGAGGAATACAAATAGTTAACAGTAACATTTTTACATACAGATGCAATTAACAGAAGGATGCATATCTTTTGCATCAAAGTATATACAAACATATTAATGGATAAATAAATAATAATTGAACACAATGGATAAATACAGTTTTGGTTACATTATTAAACAGTAAATTTTTGCTTACATAATAGGAATTCGAATGGTTGGTTGAATAATTTTATACATATTTACAGTTATAACAGTTTAGAATGGGATGCAATACTTATTACATTAATGAAATATTAAATATACAACAGGTATAATTTTAAAGTAATACATTTAGTAATNTTTATGTTGCACAAATAAAATACATATATTAAATAATATAGAAACAAAAAAAAATTATATTTTAAAAGTTTGTTTTAATATAAAAATTGTGATGCATAGCAACATCTAGTATCAAAAACGTTCCAATGTAAACACGTAAATATTCAGGATCGTCCACACAGGTCAATGAGGTCAACACGAATATTTTCGGGAACAACATAGGACAGGTTAAAAATACTTTAAAAGACTAAAATAATTTGCGAAGAAAGTAACATTATTAAATTAATACTTGTATATCCTACTCTAATGATACCTGAATTGTATTCCACTGATGCTAAAACTGATTAAAGCAGTGTGAATATAATAGTAATACTATAATATTTAGCAAAATTTGAACAGAATATTTAATGTAAAAAAATAAAAAGATTATGACAGCATCACAATGCTGGGATATAATTTTTTAATCATATTTGAATTTGAAAAAATATGTTCGTATGTAGTTAACCAAGACCTCTGGTCTATGCTTTCCACATCCGCTCTCAATTTTCATCTATCTAACATCATTCTCAAGATTGAGAAGGCCAGATGGACAACATTAGACCTCATTTTCAATTGTAGACCTTTTATTCTCATTTGAAATCAATTGTTGAAAAATTCTTCGATCAGATCTAACAATACACATCAATAAATGCAAAAATTTTCTTCTTGATTTCTTCAATTATGAAAATTTTTTTTTAAAACAGAATTTAAGTTAGCATCTAAAAACTTGGGTTATCAAACTGAAATAGCAATATTAGTTTTTTAAATTACTTACTTGGATTGTGTATTTACATTGTGCTAAGGTATTCCATAATTTAATGGTCTTATCCCGCGATCCAGAAACAATCTGACGATTGTCAACAGAGAATGCAACACTTAACACATCCTTGGTGTGATCTTCAAAACGACGTGTTGTATGTCCACTGTAAAAGAAGAGCGAGTCATTTAAGTTTTAACTAAACCGGTAAAATTAATTTAATTAAATAACACATACAGAATAATTTATTTAATCACAACTAAATTACAATTTTGACAAACAAATAGCATATAATAAAGTCTGCAGTAAACATCAAAGATGTAAAAACAAGACTTGTACAATTATTTGAGACACTGCATGCAGAATATTTTCTTTTATGCTAGCAAAATATTCAATTAAATTAACTATTTTAATTAGATCACAATATTAACACAGCAGTCAATAAGAGCTGGTTATAAAATTTGGTCTCAATTTCATCCATTTGATGTGAGCCAAATACAGGGTGTCTACCACAAACCTGACAAAATTTGAAACTGTTGTAAAAAATCTACTGCTCAATAAGAGTGTAAATTAATGCACATTTTATGATGAAAAACTCAAAAAGTTTTATTAAAAAAAAATCAGTGAACCTCTACATGAACTCCTTTTGTTGCACGTAGAACATAGAGTCTGTACTCCCTTTCCTGCCAGGTTCTTTCAAGCATCTCGGGCATGACGGCAACAACAGCATTGTGAACGTGCACAAAGATGTTGAAGGTCATAAATTTTGACAACACTGGCATAAACCTTGTCCTTGACAAATCCCCAAAAGAAAAAGTCTAAGGGCGTAATATCCGGCAATCGAGAAGGCCATGGCATCAGTCCTCTGAGCCCAATCTAACAATTGGGAAACGTCAAACGTGCAGGCTCCAATGTGGAAGGGCACAGTCCTGCTGGAAAATTAAATCTGGCTGCAAATGTGTGATCTGTGGTACAACAAATTGTTCCAGCATATCAGCGTACCACCACACAGCTTGCACCTGCTCTTGTGGAGAAGCCATTTTGCATTTGACTACTGCCATGCCACCTACAGTCACTTTGGCGGGTTTTCAATATTACCTATACAAATTTCACAGTTTCTCCACCTAATGGAATGCACTACATCTTATTACTGCCTTGCACTTTGATATGGCAGTCGAAACAGATGTGTCAGGTTCATGGTGGACACCCTGTATAATGCATCCAATGTTGTACTTAGCATTGTTATTCTGGTTAAAAACAAATTCAAGGAACAATTTCTACAGTTTCATCTGATTCAGCATACAAGCAGCTGGTCATTAATAACTGAATATCAGCAAATGCAATTCAGATAAAAATCGTCACACATATATGGCTGCTAAAATAAATAGTTGAGTACACATTAAATAATTCACATAATTCTGTTTCACACTAGAAGTTGAAAAATCACACTTTCCAATTTAGTGATAAATTTTTCTAAAAAAATACTGTGAAAGGAAACATAACAATGTAGCAATTCAAATCAGAAAATAAAAACATGCAACATTTAATATATAATGTTTGTAATCTATCAAACTTGTATATATCAAAGAATACTTATACAAATCATTAAAAGTGATTTCATTTTAAAAATATTATACATTTTCAATAAGAAAGTACATTGTAACTGCTTTTGATCACATTTTGTTCAATTTTTTAAATTGTGTAATAACATTTGCCAAAATTAATCAATCACTAATCTTAATAAATTTTACTTGTTTTTCTACTAAATGTTCATGTAAAAAATAAAAATTTACAATTTTTTAGAAAAGATGCAGAATTTGCATAATATATTTTACACAATTTAAGAAATACATGTATTAAATCTAAATATATAAAATTACTTGTCCTGACTGACTGATTCATCATCGCCCAGAGCAAACTGCTGAACCTAGAGGTGAAATTTTGTACACAGGGTACGTCATGAAAATGCACACTAATAACGGATTTTCCGAAATTCCCCCACATGGAGAGGATTAAGGCTTAACCTAAAGAACAGCTTCTACCGTACTATTTTAGATGCAATTTTTTGTTTTCAACTACGTTTAGTCTTCATTGAGTACTTAGGTATATTAAATTGATAACATTTCAGACATTGTTATAAATATTTTTATATATTTCAATTTTTTAACCAAATGTTTGAACCGTTTTAAATTCAAATGTGTTATTGCATATTGGTTCAATTATATAACAATTGTAAACGTCCCAGAAAATTGATCAAATTGAAAATAATTTGTTTGATTCTCAGTGGTAGGTATTATTATAACAATTAATATGGTTGTTGAAATACTGAATATAAATGGGGTTTGCTTCCAAAATCTGTATGTGCGAAGTTGCGGGTAACAGTTAGTACAATATAAAAATGTTTTAAATACAGTGGGTGATCAGTTAATGAACACTTTCCTGAAAGATTTTTATGATCTGTCATAAAAATCTGTCATAAGACAACGAACACATGTTTGGATAACAAACAGTTCACTGAACTAACATAAAAAAAAGCGACAAAAATAGCAAATATCGATCGATTTTCCTTTGTCTTCAGGTAACAATTCGAAATTTTTGGAGCGCAAGAGACGTCGACAACAATGCTCAACCCAGTTGATACTGATCAGAAACAATTCTTTTATAGTATTTGCAAGACTCTCGGGCGTACACTCCTTAAGTTTTGTGTTGGGTTTTATTTTCGAAAGGTATAATAGCAAAGGTAGAGAGTGGGCAGAAGATGTCTGATGTTGCTGGGCAGTATGGCTTGAACAAATCTACAGTAGGGCACAGTTCAACCTGATCTATGTAAGATACAGTATAATCAAGAAGTATCAATCAGCTAAAGGAGTAACAAATATCACATCTGAGAAATAAAGAACATTGAAGAGCTCATAATGGAACCTGAAACGGATCTGACGACAGAAGAACACCAAGAACTCTTGAATGAACACCACCAAGAAACTTGGCGAGATATGTTTTATTATGAAAAAAGAGGATTAATGCTGATATCTGCTATTAATTAAACATCTTTTGAAGAAGTGTGGGATGTCAGATCAATGGACTTAGAATGGCATACAAACCAGGTTGATGTTAATAGTCTTGGGGATCTCTACAATTACAATACTATTAATTCTGAAAATCCCAAAGAGAGAAAAGCAATCAACATTAGACAAATTCTTTAACCCCCACAAACAAAAAAACATAACTAGTAAAAATGCAAGACCGTGTATATATGTATTTTTAATATTGCATATAAATAAACATAGTAAGAAAGTATATATTTTTTTGGGGGTCTCCAGAACAAATTAATCAAATACCCATACAAACTTATGATAAATTGATCATTGGTTAAAGGCGGCCATACACATTAAGTTAATCCTTTGAGGCTGCCTGACCTTGAGGAACTTCAGAATTTCCTATCACCCACACACGAAGAAGAAAATTTCTCAGCAGAGGCATAGCTAGGGTGGGGCAAGTAGGGCATGTGCCCCAGGTGCCACTCGATGAGGGGCGCCAAATGGTCTCCAAGACAAATGAGATTTGTTTCTGGAGGGGGAGGGGGTCGCCAATATAGCATCGTGCTCCGGGTGCCAGTTATGTTCGCTATGCCATTCTCTCTCAGTCAGTCGGCCATGACATCTGATGATGACATATTGGCTGTTCTTGGATGTTTATTGGCAACAAATTCTATTAAAACTTGCGGGAAAAAGTATGCATAGAAGTCTATGGTGTAAATAGTAGTAGTAGTAGTAGTGGTTTGGGTAGCACTGATCACAAAATTAATTTTTCATATGAATAATTTTTTNATAACTACTTAATTCTCTCTTCTGTAATTTCCTGTCCTTAAATTATAATTTAATGTAACGAAGAATAATACTAAAATTACATTTATATTAACAATAGAAATATTATGACCATATAAGTGTTAAAAACAGAATTTAAATAAAAGTATCAAAACGTCTTGAATAGTACAGTACATTGCTATATCAAACAACTGCACTTAAAATTTAAATATTTGGCTGGAGCATGAACAATCAGGTCCTCTTCATCAATATTCAGTTGTTTCTGTTAGTTTAATTTTTCTTTCCGTCAACATGAATGAATGGCAAAAATGGATTAGTAAAAAAATATGGGCACTAGGAAAAATCTTTTGGGCCCCAATAACTATTAGAAAACATCAATTTTTCTTTACAGCAAAAATCAGAACACAGTTATCTATAAAAATTAAGAGAATAAATAATTGTATTTGAACAACAAAATTTATAAGCACTAACATGCTTTTTTCCTAGCCTTATTTTAGAAAATTTATCTAATTTCACTGCTACTAATCTATCTAACAATGGACAATGGAAAGGCCCTTTGAATACCCAAAGAATGGAAAAACAAAAATAAATAGTGCCACCCTCAGAACAAATACTGCACTTGTAAATAGATCTTCCTTCCACAAACATTTAAGAATCCTTTCGTATGTTACTAAATGCAATTTTTCATTATAATCACTAATTCCTGACTCAAACTCCCGAACACAAACATCGTGGGTGGACAATGATACATGTTTTCAAGGTTAGAATCAGAGGTTCAACACCTTTTCATTATGCTTTAAATAAACAAAAATTTTTTGTTATAAGTTGAGAAAATTTACAACTGAAACATATTCACTGAATATGATACGACAAAAGAAACAACAGGAAATTTAATGTCATTGTAAACAATTAAAAAAATTTGACAAAAGAATCAATGGCAGACTTGTAGAGCCCGCAGAAAGCAGATAACTTCTTGAGGTGCTTATAAGTTATTTAACTCATTCATGTCAAAGATTGTAATGATTATTAAAATAATTTTACAGTCTTACAAGTTAGCTGTCACTTAACTGTTCATTCTATTAATTGGAATAATTGGTTAAATTTTAAAAATTTTGAAGGCAAAATAAAACTATGATTTAGTCAATTAATTTTTTGTATATGTACAAGGGTGGTTTTTTTTCAAGATCCAATGGTCCATAAAAAAAAGACAAGTATAAATAAAATGAATTTATTACCAAAAGTTAGGTACAAACATGGTTACTTTTCAACATAATCACAGTGAAGATTGAGGAATTTGTCGTATCTGTGGACGAACTTTTCCATTCCCTTATCATAGAATGTTGATGCCAGTGACTTGAGATGGTCCCTAATGTTGTTTTGAAGATAGTAGAGAGGTTGAGGCGCATGTTTTAAACGTGTACGTGTGACGTTCGGCGCCGCTTTCCCGTAAGCCTAAAAGTTTGACAATGGTGTTTGGNGTATTTTTCTGAGGTCTGTCTTATCAGGTAAATTACTGTACACAGTGTATTCATTAATTTTCATTTTCATGTAGTAAAGGCTCTATGCCTTCATAAAGGACGTACTTTTTCTTTGTTTAAGGGTATTTGAGCAGTTTATTCTCTGTTATATTCTCAAGTAAACAATATATACAAGTACAATACAGTATTTTCTGAGGAAACATTCGTACTTATTTTTTTAAACCCCATTCCCGATAACCCGGCATTTTCACAAACTCGGCTACCCTTCGGTCCACATTAGGCCTAGTTTTCGAGGTTTTACTGTATTTAGATTTGCAAAAAATTAGACAAATCTGAAAATTTTATCTGATTTTTCATATAGATATAGAATTATCAGAGAATTTCAGTTTTTTCCAAAGAGTTGCCAATTAATATAGTTCAATGATAAAATCTCTAGAAATTCAACTAAAAACATAACTGTATTCCATGAATATAATTAATGTTATTTTGCTAATGAAACATCTTAAATATAAATTAGTTTAAAAATTTTACAAATAAATTCATCTTAATGTCATTTAACAAAATTAGTTATACTCTATACTTACATTGTAAGATCCCAGAGACGAAGTGTCTTATCCCAAGAGCAAGAAAGAGCATATTGTCCATCTGAAGACATAACAGCATCTGTAACAAAATGCCCATGACCACGAAGACGCTTCTGAGGAATGCCATAATTTGTATCCTCTCTGGTCAATTTCCACATTATCAACGTTTTATCTATCAAATAACATTTCATTATCATGAATATTACAATATGACAAATTTAATTAATTATTTTGTGAATATATATATTAATTATATTAATTAACACAATACATATACACAAGTTTACAAATACAGTAGAGCGTCGTTTATCCAAATCAACTGGCCGTGGATGAAGAGTCCGAGCAAGTAGGCTTAGTGATTCCTGCCGTTTTTGCTCTTTCAAATTGGTAAAATTTTTAAACAGGGACACGAACATGTCCTGCACTTTCTCCAGATTTACCACGATGATGTCTCTAATCTCTTTCTTCAAATTTTGGCTCGAATTGAGAGCCTTGAGAGCTGTCTGGATGCATGCCTTGAACTCCTCAGGGTTTGGAACATGGGATCCACATGCGATGTTGTGATTATTTTTAACCTTGATTATATTATACTACTATTGCTATTAATTTAATTAATGCTATTAGAGGCTGTGACACCTTGACATAGACCTTCTTAGACGAGTTTTTCTTCTTTCTAGCGGCCATTTTTGCCGCTTTGAGCATACCAGTGCATTGGAGTGTGTTTCTGGCAAGTCTTTAAAAAAGATTTTTTTTAATAGTGTTAGCGTTGCTTTTTATTACGTGTTGGTTAACTCTAATGTAATTTCTTTGTCTGCAGTGGCAATTTTCGTCTCATTAACCTTGGTTTTTAGTGTCTTCGACCTTTAACCTCACCTCTTGGATGTGTTTTTGATGTCTTGAAACTGTCTAGAATTATATAGATTTAGTTGGAATCGTTTATTCTTGTAGTTCTAGTCACATTTTTTCGTTAATTTTCGAGGTTTTCGCCGAACTGGTGATTCAGATTATTCCAGTTGAATTTTATGATATTATGGAATGAGTTTGTTCTTTGTCCAAGATTAAATATGTTAGGAAAACCAAACTTATCTGTATATGTAACGAACAAAACGATTGCTTATTACATGCTTATGATGAGTATGAGGCAGGAAAGCTGTAATCGAAGTACAAAGGAAAATGCAATTTCTACATTAAAAGTTTTCCTTGCATTAAGATTGCAAAGAGTAATGGTTTTCAAAATCAAATGCAGATGTTAAAATTCCAGAATGAGATGAGAACGCTCGTTGCAGCTTATTTTGATCTCATTCGGTATTGGTCTGTGACAATTGTCCAATTCGTTTACTTTTTCCACACTACTTTGTATGTTATCAAAAGACTTAGTTACTTCTTTGAAGAAGTAAAACGATAGTTTCAGAATTTTTAAATTGTCCATTTGTAATCACATTGCAATGTAATCTCGAATTCGCTTTCATCGTCTTGATTATCACAATTAATGAAGTCAGAATATAGTTGCATTGTTTTAAAGAATATCCAGAACATTTAAAACTGCTTTTAGTTTGGTGACACATTCTGTCTTCATCCAATCTTTGAAAAGCATTGATGTTTTCAGCTTTGAGTGTTCACACAATGAGAAGTTTTTATGTAGAAACTGCCTTTGCATTCGTACTTCAATTACAGCTTTCCTATGTATCAAGACTTCCGGATTTTGACTGTTCTCGATCCAGAAGTTGAAGTTTAACTGATGGTTTAGAAAATGTAAGGTCGAAAACGAGCGAAACAATCTTTTCTTAGAAAGTAAACAAATCATGAACGATGCAGTTTGTATGGAATGGATGCCTAACATTCGGAGCAGTTGCTGATGCTTCCACAAAACATAAGTTGAAGTTGGTCTTTGAACCAAATGGTTGCAGCATTTGGAAAGGGTCGTGAAAAATCACAGTTGGATTTTTCATGCAAACTTCTTTTATTAGTGGCAACAGAATGTTTGGCGGTAAAGGTTTACATGTGACGATCGACTGACGTTTTTCTTCGCCGACACGTCTAGATCATCCATATATATATGTTTTGGTGATGTACCCATGCATGAGGGCGACGAAGAGAAACAACAGGGGAAAGATGAACGCCCAGCAAACAGCGAAACTTGTGTATGTGTATGGTGCACATTACCAAAGAATACTTGTATGCGAAACCTGGATTACATGCAATTGTTCAGACAACATGGGGTGATCCCATCTTCTTCGTCGTCAGCAACCTCACACCGTCCTCGCCCAAACAAGATCAGAAACAGGCTAAGTGTCGTCAGGTAGTGAGAGGAGGAGAGTCTGCCGAAGGTGAGTGTAGAATCTGTTTTGTTGGCCTTTTCCATTGTCAGTTAGAATATGTTAGAAATAGCGAAATAGAAGTGCACTCAGTTAGATGGGAGCGGCGGTGGCAGCGGAGAAAGCGTTGCCTAATTAGCGGTAATAATCAGGCTTTTCTTTAGTCTTTGCCAATAGAAGTGGTGTTAAAATACGGTTTGCTGCCTGTTAAACACACACGATAGGCTTAGCAGAGAGAGAGAGGCACGACTCCCCATGCTCCCAGGAAGTGGCGATTCTCGTGTTTAGGGTGGTTTTGGGAGTGTCTAGCAAGTTCTAACAAAAATGGCATAAAATGCAGTTTCAAGATTTAGTTCTGAAAATTTTCACTTTTGAATTTTACCCCATTTTTGAGGGTCTCAAAGTTCACCCATAGGCATTTTGGGGGCTTATATCTCACAAAGGGTTGCCCGTACGGGCACAGTTCCATTGACTTTTTTGTTCCTATCGATATGCTCTACAGCCAAGTGTGGCAAGTGCAACGGTGTTCGTAAAATAAGTTACAGAAAAGACGCTAGTTCTGTTTATTTCCAATGTCGCAAGTGCAACGTTAATACTTCGGCATTCAAAGGTACTTTCAAGGGAAAATTTGGTAAGATATCGTGGGGAACAATATTCGCTTTCATCTGGCACCTCATTTGCACAGACAGTTTGTTAAATTAAGTCTTCGTGTTTAGCCGATGCAGTAATTCACATTACCGGTGTTGACTGGGCTAATTTCGTTTGGCATGCGATGATGGTCTCTCTTTTTAATTTGACGAGTTTGAAAATTGGTGGCACCGGAAACACCGTGGAAATAGACGAGACGGTCGTAAGCAAGCGTAAATATGAAACAGGGAGGAAGCTGAAAGGGACTAAGTGGATGGTCGGCGGAATCTGAAGAAAAGGCAAGAACTGTTTTTTACGTTTTGTTAATGATTGCTCCGAAGCCAGTCTAAATTGAGTCATTAGCAAGTTCATCCGGTCCAGATCTATAATTTATACCAATGGAAGGGATATAACCATATTGGCAAATTAGAAGGAATGGAGATAAAACACACAATCGTAAATCATTCCGAACGTTTTGTTAACCCGCTCGACAGCATACATATGCAGAGCATCGAAAGGTTATGGAGGATTCTCAAGAACAGGAAAAATCTGCCCATTCACTACACGGAGGAACTTCGCGATTCCTATCTATACGCCTTTATGTATAGAAAGCATCTGAAATGGGAAATTCTGAAGCTGGGTGAACGTTTCAAAATTTTTTGCAAACATTTACGAAAAATTTATCTGGGAGTGGGCCGCGCGCCCGAATGGAAGGAGCCAAAAACTGTTCCAGCAGCCCCGGAAGCGATACCAAAGAAGCGAGCAAGCGGCACAAGCAAGAGAAAAAAAGAAAGGAAGAGCGTCGCGATGGTGGAAAGAAGTGCGCTAGAGTCGCCGAATGACCAACAATGATGACGGTGAATAAAAATGCATTTTGTTTTTTAATAATTTGTTTAGAGCGATTTTTTCGATCTCTTGTTTGTTTTTTCCTTTTTCATGGCAGCTCCGCCACCGTCTTTCGTTTGCGCGCGCATCGTCATGTGACAACACTCGGCTCCAAATAGCCAAGGCATCGGGAGCGAGGCTAGTAGCAAAACAGTAAGTGCCGCCATGATGGTATATGTATCTGGAATTTAACTTTTATTTTATATGAATAATTCTCAAAAAATTATAAATGTTTTGGAAATGTTCAATCAGTCTAGAATCGATCAATTTTATGGAAGAAAATCCCTAAACTGCACAAATGCCTCAAAAAGTTCAGTCATTTTGGGGGATATCTCATGAAGGATTGCTCGTGGGTGTGGTTCCTTTGACTTTTTTATTACTATGAGTATGCTCTACAGCTCTGTTAAGGTCCCAACACGGTTACCTTCAACAGTTCACAATTCACATCTGAAACTTTCCTATCCAAGAAAAAAAAAATTTCATTGAAATATCAGAATTATAACTTTACAAAATTATAATATTTGTTTCAGCACTTGGACCCAGCAGTTTCCTTAATTATAATTAATATTACAATCTCCATTATGCTTGAGCTTATTTATTGAAAGATTTTTTATAAACTAAAGTATAATTGAGTTTGTAATCTTAATTTACAAAACTATTTTAATTATTTATCTTTTAAACAATCAAAATTACATTAAAAATAATTTAGTATAATAGTTATATAAATTTCAACTTTGATAACTTTTTCATTAATTTTCCAATGTATGTTAGGCTTACCTCTCGAAGCAGACAAAATTGTATCGGGAAATTTTGGATTTGTAGCAATTTGAGTAACCCATCCATTATGTCCTCTTAAAGTTCCTCGATGATATAATTGTTCAGTCATCTTTATACTTAATATTAAAATACGAAAGATGGAAACGGATTTAACAAAGTGTTTCTAACCACCTAAAACCAAACGACGTCCATACAAGAGTTGGCAATACTCTCGACAACCCAGGCATCGTCTACATAAAAAAGTTATATTAATAATTCTTAATAGATGATTTTTAGCGACTGGCGGTATGCAAACTTCTTTTTCTTTTGACTATATAATTTACTGTTTTTGATGTTAAAAAGGAAAATGCCAAACGAACGAGGAAATAAATGTTTGCTTCTCTGGGAATACAGGTTCTAGTTCTAGTAGGAATATTAGGAATTTTTCGTGGATGGTCTGTCCCGAATAAGTCGGTCCCCATTGCAGGCCTAGTAGAACCTATAATGATTACAATTAAAAGGTTTTTTGTGGGCTTGCACAGTACACAGCTTATTAATTTTACTCGATTAAGGCAAGACGACACATGAGCTATCTGTTGAGGGGAGAATGCCTCCCGGGAGGTCTTTTGTGGAGAAACTGGCCCCTATGTAGTTGAAGAAAACCCAGATAATTCCACGTGGCCAGCTCGTTGATGAGGCGCAAACTCACGACCAACTAAACGGAACGGATAAAACCACTCCGCTACAGGTGAGCACCATACACAAAGAGTAAAACAAAAAATAATGAAAGTTGCCAGTACTTTTGAATAACTTTTACAAATTATTTTTGAAAGAAGTTATTTATATCGTTGCTATTCTTTATTAAAACAAATATTTTCATTGAAAAGTGATTACAAATACACTTAATAAAATATTGTATTTTCTTCTACATGGATGAATATAGAATGAAAGACAAAAGGTTTTATTTTATGGCAAGTGTAATTCGTTAATTGATCAGTTATGAAGAACTAACAGTAATTTATATGTGCAAATGGTGCTTACATATAAAGGCCGAGTCAATTTTGTTTATTATTGATAAGCTTTCTCCTATAGTAAAAACTGTATAGGTGAAAAAAGATACAACGACTTGATGTAATTAAACAATCCAGAATAAATTGTAAGAGCTAGTAGCTCCTTCATGCGACACGATAATACTTTACCACTTTTAAAAGACCAAATGTTAAAAAGTGAAACAAAAATATGTACGGGTATATAAATTATTCAATTCTCTGATTAAATTTTAAACAATTAGTTCAGGACTACATCTCGTATTGTTATCAGTCTGTTAAGATTGTTAAGATTGGTTCAGAACACTAAAAACCAACTGAAAGTATTTTAGAATAATTTTATTATTGTCATGACTATTAACAAATATTTACAAGCATTGCCGTTTCGTTACATACTCTTATATAAAAGATTAATGAAGACATTCCTTTAGAATCAAATGATATAAATGTGCACTCTAGCATCGCATATTTTCCCCCTCTCGACTCTTGAATTGAGACGACAGTTTGTGCAGTATTTCTCAATAAGAAGGCCCGAAATTTCTTACATCAACATTGCCAAAGATTTTTCAAAAAATTGTCGAAAAATAAAAAATCTAAAATATCATTAAAATTATAAATATTTCTAGATAATTCATGAATGTTTTATAAGGAATATACAATAGTAGCTTCCATCAACGAGCTAGAATATACTACATAGAGTTGCTGAAGCGACGCCATGTTTGAGGAAAATTGAATACACGTCCGCCATTCTCCTTTTAGTCAAGGAGGCGTAGCATTTGTGTTGTGTAAAGGCAACAAGCTAGAATATTCTAACTCCTTGTGTAATTGTGCAAAGGAAAAGAACAGTTTTAACCCTTAACTAAGATGGTGAGAGTCAATGACTACTGAGTTTTATTTTTTAATTTTGAAAATAACAAGACATTTCTTTCTTTAATAGCATCAATGCTCATTATTATTTAATAGTTGTCATGTGTCATATCTCGAGAGAGATAGAACTTAATGAAGATGCTATGCGTTATTAACATTTACAATGTTTTTTAAAACTCATCACTACCCTCAAAATTAAGCTTTTTGCCATTCGATAATAATTTAAAATATAAAATGTTATAAGTATTTCTTCTTCTTCTAATAATGAGACTAGTGGCATTTATCACGTCTTTCTTAATTATCCGCAATTAACAGAGACCAAGATTAAAACAGTTCGGTTTATTTCGCCCATTTAACAATGCCATTCGAATTGGAAATTTTCCAATCCCTCTTCAAGCTCACGACTTCAGTGTTTGGAAACGTTATCCACCCCATTGCTATATTTTTTATTAAAGACATTGTTAAACGGATTATTCTTATCAATCTATTCATTGACAATTATTTTCAATTTCTCAAATAATGAAACATTACTTTCTAGATGTGGTGCTGGCCAAATAGAAAGGGGACCTCTAGTGGACGAGGGGTTGAAGTTAATTTGACTAAAGTACAGTAAACCCCCCTATAATGCGGATTGCTATAACGCGGCGAAAAAATTTCTACGGTATTCGTATAAAGACGCTAAAAGGGACGCGTAAAACGCGGTAAAACGTCATCGCCGACT